GGCTGGGCGGGACCGTGCGGTAATATGCCCGCTCGTACAGCCCCGCGATGTAGCTTAGGTTGCGTGGGATGTCACTGGCGGGCGGGGGGGCGCGCGCCATGGGGCCTGGTTCGGTCCGCGTGGGCACTGGCTTCTTGTGCCGCTCCTCCCGGGTGCTGAGTCCTTCTGCGACCGTCCCAGCCCCTGCCTCGTTCTGTCGCTCTGCTTGGAGGCTGAGTCCTGCGACCGTCCCAGCCCCTGCCTCGTTCTGTCGCTCTGCTTGGAGGCTGAGTCCTGCGACCGTCCCAGCCCCTGCCTCGTTCTGTCGCTCTGCTTGGAGGCTGAGCCCTGCGACCGTCCCAGCCCCTGCCTCGTTCTGTCGCTCTGCTTGGAGGCTGAGTCCTTTTGTCACTGGCCAAGGCCCTGCCTCATTGTATTGCTCGGTCCAGACGTTAAGTCCTTCTCTCACTCCGTCTGGGCCTTGTTCTAACTGTCAGTCTGAGCCCTGCCTGGCTCCATCGCTTTATCTGGCCGTCACTATCGCTCCACCCAGGTGCTGAGTCCTACCGCTGTGTCTGGGCCCTGCCTCGTTCTGTCGCTCTGTTTGGGAGCCAACTCATTCTATCACTCCTGGGCTCTGGCTTGCTCTGTTGCTTTATCTGGGGTTTGAATCCTGCTGGCTCTCTGTCCACTCTGCCGCTCAGTCCATCTGGGCTGTGGCTTGTTTTATTGCTCCGTCATGGCGGCGGCTTGTTCTACCGCTTCCTTGTTGCTGCCTTCCTCCGTTGCCTCTTCTGGAGGGTCCGAGTCTCTCTCTCTGCTGAGATCTGACTCGTTCTTTTGCTTGTCACAATCTTCTGTGTTTTTTCCTTCCAAAAATTCTCCTTCTGTTGCTCCGGCGGGGCGCTTTCTCCTAAACCTAACTCACTGCCTTCTACCTTCCTGAGTTTCTGAGGCTCCGTCTCCGTCTGGCCCCTGCCGTCTTCTATCTGTTGGCCTTTGCCTGCTTGTTCCTTTCCTCCTCAGAGTCCGAATCTCTCACGCCAGCCAGATTGGTTTGTTCTCCATGTTCTGCCAGGGACTGGTGGTCTCTCTCTCTCCGTCTGGGGTGCCTCTCGTTCCGTCGTTCCTGCGCCGTCTCCTCCTCTTTCCTCTGATCCCGCTGCAACTGTCTGCCGCTTTCCTCCCTTGCGGACTCTCTTCTTCTCTCAGGGCTGCCTTCGATCTCTCCACCGCAGCTGTCTCATTCTCTCCTTGCCATCCGTCTTTTGGTTGCTCTGGCTGGGCTCTGTGGCTCCGAGGTGGCTTGTCTCTTTCTCCTTCCTCCGGCAGCCACCCCTCCCTTTCTAGTGTTCCTCCATGTCCAAAGTGGATGGGGCGGGTCACATCCCCTCCACCCAGCCTCCTCTCCTCCCTGTGCCCAGGGATCCCCCTTTTTACCAGCCGGGGCGGGGCAAAGGCTCCTCCCAGAGTTAACCTGGCAGGGACCCAGGCGTCCGGCAGTCTGGGGCCGGGGAGCCAAAGGGCCGAAAATGCTCCAATCTGGGATCAATAATTGATGAGACCAAAGGCAGCTAATGGATCCTGGGAAGCGGGCCAGGAAATGGGGGGGGAGGGGGCAGGAGGGAGGTGGGAATGGGG